CTACAAATCAAACACTTCTCCAGGTATTCCCTTGGAATCCTAGGGTGGAACAAGTGCTATCTACCCTGAAGCATGCCTTCTTGATATTTCTATTCATTTTTTCATTTTAAAAATACAGTTGTGGGTATTCTAGCACACTGAACTCAAAACAAGACACATTAAACTTGTATCTCTAAACCTCCCCCTTCTTTTGCCCCCTCCCCCCACACAGAGGTTAAATTGACTCTCTTCCTAATCTGTTTCTTCAGTGGCCCCCACAACTTTCTTAATATGCAACTCAAAATCTTTATTACTGTGAATTCTCCTCTTTTATACCTTCTACATTCCAATCTGTTACCAACAACTGATGGAACCAGGCACCATGGCATACACCTGTAGTCACAACTACTTGGAAGGTGGTAGTTGGAGAATTGCTTGAGCCCAAGAATTTGAGGCCAGCCTGGGCAACATAGTAAGAGATCATCTCAAAAAAAAAAAAAAAAAAAGAACTGATGGAGTCTTCCTTTGCAATATCTTTTCCTTTTTTTTTTCCCCCTGAGTCAGAGTCTCATTCTGTCACCCAGGCTGGAGTGCAGTAGCATGCTCACAGCCACCACAGCCTCAACCTGCTAGGCTCCAGCGATCCTTCTGCCTCAGCCTCCCAAGTAGCTAAAACTATAGGTGCACACTACCATGTCCAGCCAATTCTTTTTTTTTTTGAGTTGGAGTCTCACTCTGTCGCCCAGGCTGGAGGGCAGTGGCATGCTCCAGTCACCGCAGCCTCAACTTGTTGGGCTCAGGTAATCCTTCCACCTCAGCCTTCCAAGTGGCTGGAACTACAGGCATGCATCACCATGCCAGGCTTATCTATCTATTTATTTATTTATTTATTTGTAGAGATGAGGTCTCGCCAAGCTGCCCAGGCTGGTCTCAAATCCACGGGCTCAGACAATCCTCTCACCTTAGCCTCCCAAAGTGCTGGGATTATAGGCATAAGCCACTGTGACCAGCTAATTTTTTGATTTATTGTAGAGAGGAGGTCTCGCCATGTTGCCCTGGTTGGTCTCAAACCCATGGGCTCAGGTAATTCTCTCACCTCTGCCTCCCAAAGTGCTGGGATTACAGGTGTGAGCCACTACACCCAGTTAACGTTTCTTAAGTAAATGAATATCTGACAGATCCGTGATTTAAAAGTACAGACAAGTAGGCCTGAAATTGGGATATGGAATTTTTCTTAAGAGAACTTCTGTTGGGATGGACAACTAATAAAAATGGGATATTTAGCAAATAAAGTGCCAAAAGTTAATAATTATCTGTAGGTATGGTGGCACATGACTGTAATCCCAACTCTTTGGAAGTGAGGATCTCTTGAGCCCAAGAGTTCAAGTCCAGTGTGGGCAAAACAGCAAGATACTCTTTTAAAAATGTTTTTTAATTTTTTTTTTTTTTCTTTTTTTCTTGAGTTGGAGTCTCACTCTGTCGCCCAGACTGGAGTGCAGTGGCCGCTCCCGGCCACCGCAGCCTCGACCTGCTGGGCTCCGGCGATCCTTCCGCCTCAGCCTTCCGAGTAGCCGGAATTGCAGGCATGCGCTACCACGCCCGGCTGGTTTTTTGATTTATTGTAGAGATGAGGTCTCGTCAAATTGCCCAGGCAGGTCTCGAACCCGCGGGCTCAGGCAATCCACTCACCTCAACCTCCCAAAGGCGCGGGATTACAGGCTGAGCCACCGAGCCCGGCTTAATTTTATTTTTTATTACTTAAATACCTTTGCCAATACATCTTTCATACAAGCAAAATAGTAAATGTTAAAAAAAATTGATTTAAAATTGTTAAGATTAAATCCTTGACCTTCAGGCTTTCTTATAATGTCACCGCAGGGAGGTAAACTAATCTTGCTATCACAAGAAAATGTCTAATTAGAATTCTATATTCACAGCACAGGCAATAAAAAAGGAGAATGAAAGCAACTAACTCTCATGATATTTAAAAACACTGATTAGTTCCTTCTGATACGGTTTGGAAAATAATATATTTATTCAGGATTCTAAAGGCCATGTAAAAACAAAACCTAAAGCTGTTCACCTAGTCTCTTCCACCTGTAGGACAACATCTGCTGTCAGCTGACATCAAGAATAATTTATGAGGAGAAACTTAGTCCCCAAGGTAAACCAGTGAGTTAAGCCACAGTTAACTTTACAAAGTAAACTCAGTTTTCTAACTACTAGAAGAAAAAATTAGAACTACTCTCTATTCACATACATAATAGCCCTAAATTCTACACAAGGCTTATTCAAAAACTCCACACTTGATGGAACTACAGTCAATAGAAAAGAGAAAAATTAGTATCATTTGCAAAAGATAGAGTCAAATTCAGGAGGGAAAAAAGCACTCAGGAGCATATGAAGTACATTTATAACTTTCAGCTGGCAGAGATGTTACCTTACATCTGGATACTAGCCCTACCTAACAGAACCATAACGATCTTGTTTGTATAAGGATTCAGCCAAAACACTCCACATTTCTTTGTTGGCCTAGTGAACTAAGAAAACGGGGCAGAAAAAGAATTACAAAACTGAATCAACAAAACACTACATGGTTTATTCCAAGTTTGAAAGCATTCTCATTCGTGTGTGTGTGTGTGTGTGTGTGTGTGTGTGTGTGTGTGTGTGTGTGTTG